CTTTCCAGCTTCCGTATTTTGAATTTTTAAAATTTGGACCCCGAACACTCAAGGCCATTATAATGAAGGGAGTGTATACAGACCCGGTAACCGGGAACAAAGTCACAAAATATACAGACCCGGTAGGGGAACTCTTGTGATTTCGGAAAGTTTCAGCGTCCTCCTGGCTCAGGGTAACTTAGGTTATTATCTAGATCTCTATGACCTCGGTCTACATCTAGACAGACATTTCATCCTTGATCTGGTTGCGAGGCTAGCCTAGATCTAGATCTATCTAGAGATTTAAATGAACATTGCGGATGTCTTTTCGATGAATGATCGTTTTTCCTCCGTTTTGGAGTTGGAGGAATCACAATTTGAAGAAAAGAACAATGTCATAATTTCAATTGAGCAGTCACCCTCTCTATTTCTCTCTCTCTCTCTCTCTCCATCTGTCTCTGTGTATCGCAAAATCACAAAAGAGTTCCCAAACCGGGTCTGTATACTTCGTGACTTTGTTCCCGGTTACCGGGGTCTATACAGTATACACTTCGTAACAATAACACTGAACTGTAGGAACATGCTGACAAACAATCAAATCTGTAGAAATGTGTGTGAGATGGAATGCCTCAGGAAAACATTAACATAAGAGATAAAGACAATAAAGTGAGAAAAAATAAAAGAGAACAAGTTGGAACAACACCACGTACGAAATACATTGAAAAAACAACGCATTAAATGGCCCATGTCCATGTGGGCCAATAAGTTATAAGAGCAGCCTTCTTTGAAAATGTGAGTTTTGGTGTGTGATCTGCAGCAAACAATACTGTACTTTGACCCCCGAAGCAGTGCATCTGTGTGCTGGAGTGAAAGTCAAAATTTACCAAATGGTAACATCATTTGAAGCCTATCATTAGATTGGAATTTATGTGATTACAACACAAGTTGTCTCAACCTTACCAGGCAAGGCTTTCGGTGCCTTCGGTCAAAGGACAAGATTTAGATTTTTAAGTCAAGAATTAGTTCTGCTCTGACCAGACAACATGGATCCTTTGCTTGTCAAATGGTGAGGCTAAAATGGTAGAGTAAAGCCTGAGATTTAAGTCTAAGTCTAATAGACTAAAAAAAGAGTTCACCTGGGCCTGGTGGTGTTGTGAGGCGAGGCTCCATCTGGTTCTGCGCCTCGTTAGTCTTGACAGTGTTTATGACTCTATCCACAGACGATTGACCTGGTCTTCTTCTTGCCTGAATGTCAGAAGGCGGGCCTTTTGACCACGCTCCAGTATAGGGTATACCCGTATTTTCGTTTGACGACATGCTTTTCTATTGTCTATTGTCATATGAGATGAATTCGCGAAAGATATGAATACAATTACAGTACAGGGCTGACCACGATTTAGTCTGTTTGTTGGTTCTCCAAAGTTGCCAGATTTTTCTCCTGTAAGCAGATCAAAGTTGCCTAACGCCTGGGAAAAAATAGACATTATATCACAGGCCTATGGTAGGAACGGAAAATGTCTAATTATAGGAGGAAACCCCTATAAGACACATTGCCCAAGTGTCTCATAAAGAGAGAAAATATATATATATGCATTGAAAGTTCAAGTAAAAAGTGTTACTTTGAGTTTTGAGTACATAACATTTACTTCTCTCAACGAATAACATCATTACTGTCCGCTAAGCAAAGTTTACGAACAGTTAGTCTAATCGTTTTTATACTCCCCTCAAATCAGAATAGTCTTAATTATTGTAAAAAACAATAAAATAATTTTGTTTCTACTAGATACTCTAATTAATGTAGCCTTTGAATCTAGAGTGGCGTATTGTTTAAGGAATGTTTTTTCAATTTTCTATTTGGCATATAATATGTAGACAGGGGAAGTCACTCTAATTTCATTTTGACGGTTATTGATTGTGTTTATGATAGGGATAGGAAGGAAGGGAAGAAAAAAGACCAACCCAAAGACCAAGAGTCGGTCGCACCTAGGGTCCTAGGCCCAGAATGATTTTCCCTTCAGCGTACTACTGACTGACTGGTCTGATTAGGCCTAGATCTACATCTTTCATAGAACTTAGTTGAAAGAAGCGATCCCAACTTTCCATGGCCCACTAGCTTGGCTAAGAGCTAAGTCCTGGTCGTTATTTTTTTAAGAAACACAGTGAGTAGACTAGAAAGTAAAGGGCCTCATGAACTTGTTGATGATGTTATTGTTTGTTTGGCAGGGCAGGCCTTAGAATCTAGATTCTAGATCTAGATATAAATCTAGATCTAGCCTTAGATCTATAGGTTTTTTAAATTAATATTATTCTAGATCTCCTATTCTCACAGGGTGAGAATAATGACAGCCTACTATTCTGCCATACTGCGAGTACTGGGAAGAAACATTTTTATTCCCGAAGTGACTAGTCTAGATCTAGATCTAGATCTATCTAGATTCTAGAATCTAGACTAGATCTAGATCTAGATCTAGATCTGGATCTATTTCTCCTAACGCTCTGGAAAATAAACTTGAAGATACTTCTCTGAACGGTTTTCGTTCTCGAAATTTTTTTGTTTATTAAATTTGTGAGAGTTCGGCGTCATCTTTCTTTTTGCCACTCTGCGAGGACTGGGAAGAAGCATTTTTTGCATCGAATTCAATTTCTAGATCTAGATCTAGAGATTTTTAAATGTTTGAATATTAAGGTACTTCAATTGTGGTTGGGACAACATTCCCGGTCTATACTTCTTTTGAAAATGTCAAAGGGTACTGCGAGAAAACCGGACTGCTCGACTTTGGCAGTAACCTATTTTGCTTTTAATCACCGCTAAAGCACACACACACACACACACACACACACACACACACACACACACACACACACGCGTGCACATGGGGCGGGCGCGTGCTCTCACTCACACACACATGTGCACACACACGTACACGCAAGGGCCACTCCTTTCGCAAATGGCCAAAATATCTCGAGAACGGAAACCGTTTGGAGAAATAGACTTCAAAACTCTTCAAGTTTATTTTCTCGAGCGTTCGGAGTCGGAGAAATAGAGCCGGCCTTTTTTTTTTTTTTTTTGCATCGAATTCAATTTCTAGAGTTAGAAATGTTTAGCTGCTACTGAACTGTTCGAAATACTTCAAAGGCGTTACTTTTAATTTACTTTGAAATTGTGATTTTTCGCATTAACTTTTATTAACCCATTCGTTGCTAGGTGGTGTGTGTTCCAACTGCCAGCACCGATTTCTAGCTAACCTCATTTCACTCTATGCTTACTTGTGGGGGTAAATCTCTATGCAGAAGAATTATTTATATCTAGAACCAGATGAGTAGTGGTAAATCTCTATGCAGAAGAATTATATCTAGAGCCAGATGATTAGTGGTATTATATCTTATAAAAATCTATAAAATAGGCAGTCAGAAACGGAAAATTTTGTCAACTTTCCGTGATGTCGTGTACAGCTCAAAGTCAAAGCTAAGAACAATAATAAAAGCATTTTCATGATGTATCATACGTCATGAAGGCAATGAAGGGTTTATAAATTTAGGTATATTTGCAGTTCAATAACTGCATTCAAGTTCACAATCTGAGGATTGTCTGTTTTCAGTAAATTTTTACTTTCACTCCAGCACACAGACGCATTGCATTGCTTTGAGGGTCAAACTGTGTGCAGTATTTTTTGCTGCAGATCACACGTATAGCCACTAAAACTGTCGCAAATTAATTCTTTTCAAGAGAAATAACTGTAAAACGTCAAATTATTTATAAGTTAAAATCCTCCAGATGTTTTTCTTACTTCATGGCCGCCTGAAATTGGTCCAAAGCGCGGAAACTACTATTTTTGCAATTAAGTTAAGTATGGTTAAGTTCCATTATAAACCATCAAATATTTTTAAAACGATTACTAAATTAATATGCAACGAAGTGTATACAGACCCGGTAACCGGGAACAAAGTATACAGACCCGGTAGGGGAACTCTTTTGTGATTTCGGAGGGTTTCAGCGCCCAGACCCGGTAGTGTGTGTGTGTGTGTCTGTGTGTGTGTGTGTGAGTTAAAGAGAGAGAGAGAGAGAGAGAGAGAGAGAGCGCGCAGGGGGAAGTGCTAGCAAAATGTATATAATATGACATGTCTGCCAGTTGGCAGGAAGGAAGGAAAGACAGAGACAAACAAAGAAAAAAAGAATGCGAGCGATACAGAGAGAGAGAGAGAGAGAGACTGCTCGATTGAAATTATGACATTGTTCTTTTCTTCAAATTGTGATTCCTCTAACTCCAAAACAGGGGAAAAACGATCGTTCATCGAAAAGACATATCCGCAATCTTCATTTAGTTTTAGATCTAGAATCTAGATCTAGATCTACAGTCTAGATCTAGGCTAGCCTCGAAACTAGATCAATGATTTATATCTGTCTGTCTAGATCTAGACCTAGGCCATAGATTTAGAAGAACCTAGTTCTACTCTGAGCCAAGAGGGTGCTGAAAGTTTCCGAAATCACAAAAGAGTTCCCCTACCGGGTCTGTATACTTTGTGACTTTATTCCCGGTTACCGGGTCTGTATACACTCCCTACAATATGCAAACCTGTAAATGAAGTCGATATATTATATTCTCATGTTCAGCGCATCAATATATCATGTAGGAGAAAATGGACACGCAAGTTAATAGTAGCTAAATGTGAAATGGGAGGAAAAGGAAAGAAAAAGAATCCAGTTTTCTTTTCTCCATTATTAATTTATTTAGATTTGTACAAATCGTGTCAATGGAACTTTGAACAGATGTTATAAAAAGAGTTTAGAAGGGTTAAGACAAATTTATTTCACTCCCCCCCCTCCCCCGACCGCTCTCTCCTCTTACTGCTGCCCAAGATTGTATGCATGATAGGTCCAAGTAGTTATATTTTCCTTATTAAAAAGATTGAAAATGTGAAACTTGTAGGGCTGAAAAGAAATTGTTTCTATTCTAAAGTGATATAACAAAAACTGACTATTTTTATGTTGTTGGTTTTTTTTCCTTCAGATTCCCCCACAGCGAATGGATGGCAGGTTTGTCTCTCTCACGCCCGTCCCTCTCCAAAGTCTCCGCCTTGATTTCCTCCCACCCTGCGTGTTCCCTCCGACCTATAGTGGCTTTATTCCTCGCTGTTCTCTTCACAGCAATTTCAGATGGTGAGTGGTTGTTTTTTTAAATTGTTATTTCAGGGTGAAAAAATTGATGTACAGAAAAGTGGGGAAGACATGGAATAACATCAAGAGGCATGCCCGGGGATAGGGAAAGGTGAAAAGTGTTTGTTCGTGGCCTATACCCTGATCCAGGTTGAGAAAGGCGATGATAATGATCGGGGTGAAGTTGAGGAAGAGTCCAAATCATCACATTTTGAGACATACTTATATATATACATATGTTTATGTATATATATATATATATATATACGCAAAGCAGAGACAAGAATTTTCATTGGTGGTGTCTGTGACACCTAGTGGTTAAGCTCTTGGGCTCAAAACTGTAAGGTCGTAGGTTTGAATCCTGTCAGGGACCCAACATTGTGTCCTTAAGACATGCTGTAGAGCATGGATATGCGCTATGTAAATGCAAATATTATTATTAAAGTATTATTATTTTTATAATTATTATCATCATTTTTATTAGTATTATTATCATATCCTGCATGTTATTGCTTGCGTTTAAACTTCTTCAGTTACACTTATGACATCATATGTATACGCCAGAGATAGAATAAGTCCAAAGCTCATCGGCTGTGACTTGAGTAAGTACTGTTTTGATGAAGGAAAAGAACAATTTTTGAAAATGAGCCTTCAGTGTTTTGTACTTGGTAATCAATCAATGCCTTTCACCCCTGGCAGGGTATAGGCCACATACAAGCTCCTTCCATTTATCTCTGTCCTGAGCCATCCTTCCAAGCTCTTTCCAAGTGAGCTTCATTTCTCTCATGTCCCTTTCCACGCATCTCCTCCATGTTTCCCGTGGCCTACCCCTGCCTCGTGCTCCTTGTAGGTTCCACTGCAGTGACTGTCTTGTGATGTTTCCGCTGGGCTTTCTTAAGGTGTGTCCCATCCATCGCCACTTTCTTAGTCGTATTTCTACTTCTATATCCTTTTGTCGTGTCCTTTCCCACAGCTCTTCATTTCTTATTCTATCCTGCCACTTAATTTTTAGAATACTCCTCATACATCTGTTGATGAAAGTCTGGACCTGGTAATGGGTTGTTGGTTTTTTTTGTACTTTGCAACTTTCTTTCAGATGCTTTATCACGTTGGGGTCACGGGGGTCAGCTCCTTGTCACCGCTCTGGCTGGGCTGACTTAGTTTTTGGTGCTTTTCAACAACAAATTGTAAGTGTATGCCTATAACTTATGGCCATGGTAATTTTCATTTAATACTCTCAAAGCATACAGTTCTGTTCTTGAGACTCAAGAAAGAATGGACATCGCTACTTTCTTTCAGACGCTTCCGCAGAGGAGATCTGGAACTTGCCGAGACCCGTGCTGGGCTATGAAAGTTACCTAGACGTCTCCCCGGTGAGGTACATGGTACCAGACGGCATAAGTGTCATGAACTTCACTTTCCAGACGTCCAAAAGTTTCCTACACTGTCCACAAGAGTCTCTGAAATTGTGAGTAACTAAATATACTATAATTTCCTGACTGTAGGAAAAAATTTCATATATATACACTCTACGAATCCTATTGTTCTCACTATATTCACACGGTTTGTGTAAATCGGTCCACCAGAAATGTTTGTATGCTATATTTTTTTTATCATGAAAAATCCAAACATAAACCGCTTTGTTCATCAAATATCTTACTTGTTACTCCTTATGCCTGTTAAAATGTCTGAAGAAGCTCAAAATAAACAAAACGGGTTGGCTTCTTGAGTTGCCAAAGTTTTAAAAAAAGAATGCCATTTGCTTGGGGGGGGGGGGGGTTATGATATTATTTACTTTCAATTGAAGAAACTGTATTTTGGCCAAGATTATTTTGCGTCAGTATGAAGAATTATCATAATAATAATATAGGTCCTTTGTGACACTTGTAAAGAGTGCCTCTTGTAGCCTGCTGTGTTTCTCCTGTAACATTTTTTTTCCAAGGGTGGTGGGCATAGCTTCTGTTGTTGATTACATGTTCTTCGTATTTTGGACGACCCCTTTAACATTTTGCCGTCACATCTAGTCGCCCCCCCCCCCCGGGCGGTGCCACTGACAGAAGTGTCTTTAGGCCATTCCCAAAAGCTGGGACATTTCTCGTTCTAATGCACAGTAGAATTGTAAATAGGCTGATCCAACAATGTCATGCTCATAACTGTGCCTGAACTACAACAGGGAACTGCTGCTTTTTCTGTCCTAATCCTTACTATTGTCATTTTCCTCTACTTCTTTTGTATGTTTGTCACACTCTTGTGACCTGCTATTTCTGGGGTGCCTTGATAGTCAAAGCAGACTTTGTGCTGTTGAAGCTAGAGAGGTGAGCAGAGTAAGTCTGATTCTTTGTAAGGACTTACTTCTCTGTCGACATCCACCCCTTGACGCTCATATGACGTTATGCAGTTACGAGCGCCGTAAAACCTCTACTAAAACTAAAAAACGTTTCGTCGATCAGCTATGTTCACCACCCACCCAGTTTCTTTGGATTTTCCCCAACATGCCTTTGCCTTTGATGGCAAGATTTTTTAAACTATTTGAGCCTTGTGATGGTAAAGTGATAGTGCCATCCAGACAAGTTTTGCATGGTCTGCCCCTGCCCTTGTGCAATAGTAGTTTTTAGATATTGTTGTTATCATGAGTTGTTCTAGAAAAGGGAAGATACAGTCGACGAACATGTTGAAGATCACTGTCAAGGGGAAAAGTGGTCTTCTTAGGCAAGTGGCCCTCCGTAGAGAGAAAGTGGCATTATAATATAGAACTTTACTTTACTTTTACTTTTCCGATCCAGCGGCCATTTGGGTTCTGTCGATATGGCAAAGAATTTGCAGGTTTTAATCAGCTGTGCTTTGTCGCTGTTTGGAGTATTTCTGATGTCTGGGGAGGCAGGTAGGTAGGTGCTACCCAGGTCACAAAGTGCTGGGCAGTTAAAGAGGTGGTGTGGTACATAATGTAGAAAAAATGCATGGGTGGGGGGAGTGTGTTATGGTCGTTTTTATTTTTAAGTACGTTAATTGAAAGAATGTATATTTTTGTTTTTTGTTGCAGTTTACTTCAACGGGGCGGCCTCCCTTTGATCACGCGGACCAACTCGACTTTCCCCGACAACTTTCTGGTGAACGATGACCCGTCCTTGCACTTCTCGTTAAGACCAGGCGTTTTGTTCAGTTTTGGATTGAACCAGCCCCTGCCAGGCTCCTGGTACGTGGTGGCCTATCACGAAGGTGTCGACACCAAAATCAGACAGAAGGTGGGTTTGTGGCTCGTGCCCTTGAGTTTGAGGAACTGAGCCGAATCTTCGATGTTGTTTTCGTGGGTGGTTGGCGGGTGCTCTGGTGTGGTTTGCTGCCTTTTTCTTTCCTATCAAACATCTATCGTCCTTATCTCCCCCTTCTTTTTTTTGAATGATTATTACTCTCTTGTAACACCTCTAATCTTCTGGCGCTCCTATGACCTTATGCAGTTGCGAGCGCCGTAAAACCTCTACTAAAACTAAAGACTAAAAACGATATTGTTTATTTCTGTAGACCTCAGTATGTGAGGCGGCGTGGTGAAATCAGGCGCTCGTTAAAATAATCAGTGAAGAAACTCGCATTTTCCCGCAAGTTTTTGAATTTTTATTGATTTTTTTTTCTTTGCTCAACACCTCTCATGATCATTAAAGAACACATTTCTGTTTGAATTTTACTGAAAACGTTGATTAAAGGCATAAAAAAAAAGTAAATTTTTAGTTTCCACGGACCCTCCAGCTAAGGAAATCTAAATTTTGACATCCATTTTCTCAGTAATTTTACCTCTGAAACCAGGGGACCCTTGCCTACTTCAGCCACAAATATTTCCGCTTCTTTTCTCTTGCAACACCTCTAATCTTCGGCGCTTATAATATGACTGTATTGTGTAGCGAGTGCCATATATATAGTCTAGCACACAGGAAGCGAGCATGTACGTAAGGAAACATGCACATAGCCAATCAGGCACACCAAGCGAACAGATTTTCAAATCCCACATTTTTTCTTGTACTTATTTCCTTTGTATTTAAAACACACACATGAGGAAATTCGCTGTATAGATTACCACCTTCTGGTGGGGGTTTCTGTGTGCTATTTTTATGCTAGACTGTTAGCTCTTTCTTTGTTCTTTTACTTCTGAATTTTCACCTGCTTCTTTGGTCGTACGCGGGTGGTTGGAGGGCGCCTCTGGTGGGTCCTACTCCTTTACTTTCCCCTCTGTTGATTCTGTCTGTCTGTCTTAATTTTTCCCAGCACTAAATTACCATTATTGTGTCGATGTGCTTCTCTTTACTCAAACTAACAAACAAACTTTGGTAGTACTGCGGTGGAATCAGGCGCTCGTCAATTTTTGTGCTTGGGGAGTTATTGGTACCATCTGAAAGCTGATTTGTTTGCCTTGCTTTCAATGAAATAAATGTCCATCTATCTTGAATAGAACTCAAGATATTTGTGATTAGAGGAAGTGCGGTCGCCTGGTTTCAGTGGCGAAATTAGTGAGAAAATGGTCGCCAAAGTTAGGTAACTCCAATGGCCAAAAAGAGTCCTTGAAAACAGAAAAATGACATTTTTTGTGCTTTTAATCAATAATTTTCAATAAAATTCACATGGTAATGTGTTTTTGTATGGACATAAAAGAGGTTGAGCCCAAAAATAAAAATTCGATAAAAATGTGCAAACTTTCGGGAAAACGCATGTTTTTCTGATTTCTGTATTTTGATGAGCGCGTGATTTCACCACACTGCCTCACATATGATATTGCTTTGACGTTTATCTCATAACTTTCTTTGAAAGTGCTTTTTACGGGAGTTTATTTTCAAAAATTTCATCACCACGCTTTGTATGGTTTTTTTTACCCCTGAATTAACTTATATTCTTTTTTCTTTCCCTTCTATATCTCCAGGGCTTCAACGACGGAGACAAATGTATATATTCTTACATGTCTCAGCTTCAGTTAGGACCGCCTGTGAAGGCTCAGCGCATTAACATCATGGAGCGTCACATGGTTACAGTGGGGCCGCAGGATTCTATTTTTAGGTGAGTTGTTGGTGCCGGTGGCGGCAATGACCTGTGAATTGTTTTTGAAAGCATTTGCATGAAGGATCGTTGTATTATGTGTGTGTTCGTTTGTTAATATTGTAACACGTCGAGAATACGTTAATACTTGAATCTTGAATGTAGAACTGGGGTTTAGGAAGACGGGGTGCTTCATGCTTTCTCGCCCCTCTTCATGAGGGTCCATTTCAGTGTGGGCAGGCTGATTGTCTCTCCATCATCAGCTGGTTGTTGTAGCGTCTGATGGGGTCACTTTGAGAATATTGTTGTTAATTCTTTGAAGATATAGCGGGCACACACACGTCTGGTCAGCAATAAACTATTTGTCATGTTGTGGCATATTTAGTGAACCATCCTGCACAAATCAGAAACTCCAGTGTGCATATGTGCGTGCTGTTGCCTGCCTCTTCAAGTTTGAGCTAAAAGAAACAGAGAGAGAGAATTACAAGATCTGAATGAAGAACCAAGTTATTCTTCTTTTATTTTATTTTTTTGTTCCTTTTTTATTTTAAAAAAAAATGTTTGTAAGTGCCCCAAACCAGCATGTCTTCAATCGTTATCATCCAATGAGCAGATTACACTTTCTCAATGAGTTAGACAGTGGCGTCAGTGGCCTAGTGGTTAGGCTACCAGACTTGTAATTGTGAGATTACTGGTTCGGGGGTTCGAGCCTCAGCTCGGTCCGATGTTGTGTCCTGGGGAAAGGCGCACTTTGAATGAAATTCCCACTTGGCTCGATCCTTTCAGAGATGGAGGTTTATCTCGGAAGTCCCGCCTCTTCAATAACCTAATAGTGTTGATAAAGGCATTTAATCCATACCATTTTTTGAGTTTGACAGAATGTTTGAACTGAGTAAATCCGATGCAGTCCTGTACAGAGCAACGCTATGGTTCTTCCGTTTTGTTCCAAGAACTGCCATAATTTTCTTATTTTTCAGAAATGATGAATGGATTTTTGGGGATTTTTCCTTACATGACAAAAACGAGTCAATAAGGTTCTTCAGATAATCAAAGGCACCCAGTTATTTATTGTATAGACTTTCCCCTACCTTAGGTTGATCTTTGGCTATTTTATAGTAGTTGAAGTAGACTGTCGATTCAGATTTGTCTGGACATATAGAGTAATTTTTTTTTTTGGGTGACTCTTTGTAAATTATACCACCTGTTATCAGAATAAGTTATTATGTCCAGGTCTACATTTCATATTGAAACAAGTTTTTGTATCTTTTTTTTTTCCTGTATCTTTTGTCTGTGCTTTCCACTGCATCTTTCTTTCGTTCATACTATTTCTATCCTTCGTTCATGTTTATTAAGTTTGTGTGCCCACTCTATGTTTGCGGGTGGTTGGCGGGTGCTCTGGTGTGGTCTGCTCCTTCTTTCCTATCAAACATCTATCATCCTTTTCTACCCTCCTTCTTTTTTATGTTTGTTACTCGCTTGTAACACCTCTAATCTTCTGGCGCTCGTATGACCTTACAAAGTTGCGAGCGTCGAAAAACCTCTACTAAGACAAAAACAAACAATTTTATGTTTCGCGGCATGAGTAACAAATTCCATTTTGTTTTTGTTCCTTTACACAGTTCGGAATGTTTCAGAAAATGTTTGTGTGCACCCCTCAGAGGTAAACAGTTCACGTGTTTCTGCATGAGTAGTAGGTGTAAACTAAGACTAACAACACCACTGTTGAATAACCTCGTTGTCCTTCTTACCACTAATGTTTTCAAACTTTGTGAGAACGAATAACAACTCTGGCATTGTGTTTGTATGTTTACTGCTGCATGTATAACCTAACAGCAACGATAACAACAACTTACTTATATTAGAGTAAGTCTGATTCCCTGTTAGGACTTCTCTGTTGACATCCACCCCTTGACGCTCATATGACCTTGTGCAGTTGCGAGTGCCGTAAAACCCCTACTAAAACTAAACTCTATTCTCTGTCTGTTCAAAAAAAAATGTTAAGATCATGTATATTGCACTTGTAAAGTTTTACAAGCCGTAGATCTAACTGAAGTGTCGTGTTTATTTCACCTTGGACATGTTTTTGTGAGCTTTGGGCCGTGCAAATTGGCTTTCCGTGGAGCCAGACCGTAATTCGTTACATATTCTCAGCTCAGCAAACAGCCTAGATAAGTAGGTGGTTGGTGGGTGCTCTAGTGTGGTTTGCTCCTCCTTCTTTCCTATCAAACATCTATCGTCCTTATCTCTCCTCCTTCTTTCCTATCAAACATCTATCGTCCCTACCTCTCCTCCTTCTTTCCTGTCAAACATCTGTCGTCCTTACCTCTCCTCCTTCTTTCCTAGCAAACATCTGTCGTCCTTACCTCTCCTCCTTCTTTCCTATCAAACATCTATCGTCCCTACCTCTCCTCCTTCTTTCCTATCAAACATCTGTCGTCCTTACCTCTCCTCCTTCCTTTTTGTGTACTTTACTCTCTTGTAACAATATGTTACATATGTATTCATCGTCACTTTTAGGACCTAATTGTGTTGCAATTGCCACAAAACTCTAACTAGAATTTTAAAAAGTAAGCCTAAATAAATAAAGATAGCGCCACCGTGAGTTGTGTGGCCCATGGTACAACTAGATTGTTTGCGCGGCAAACAGCTCTGATAGTAGTGTGAATTGTGACACTGATGGTAAAACGTTGACAGTTGACAGTGTCTAGCGTACATTGGCCTACTTAATTAATGCTGAGGGTGTTAGCTCTGCTGTGTTTGCTCCCGTCTTTCCTATCAAACATCTGATTCTGTCGTTTGTCCGTATCTCCCCTCCTTTTAATTTTGTATCCCGTACTATCCAGTAACACCACTAATCTTCGGCACTTATGTATGTGACCTATGTGTGTTGCAAGTGCCGACCGTACTATTTTTACTAAACTTTAAAAACTTTCATAACTGACTGAAGTTAACCTTTTTACGTTACAGTTTGACATTTTTTTTTATCTCAAAGAATACA